TCCCAACCAAAATGCAGTTGCTGCATATCATCTCCTGTGTCATCATTCCTGCTTAATACAGGTCCCTGCATCCATGATGGGTCAGTGAGCTCAGCTGCAAACCAGCTTGTCAAGAAAAGAAAGGAAGGGTTGCTTTTAGAGAAGTCTCTTCCCTGATTCTGAACCATACACAGACACCAGGATGTGCTGGAAGAGCTTGGGAGCTGCATTGTCAGATGAGGTGGGAAGCTGTACCATGTCTTTGTATATAGCCTGCATTTAGGTCAGGTTAAAGCAATTGTTATGCAGAGACCTAAGGATAGCAAAGCACAGATTCTCTCTTTTTAAGACCCAGCTATACATGTATGTGCTAGAATGGTGTTAGATTCTGTCCTCGAATCCATGCATTTGTGCAATGACCACTGGCATTCCTAGCAGCAATTGTCTGTATCTTTGCCATTGGGGTGGATACCAACTCTTCCACAGCTGTAAATCTGTTCATCTGCATTATCTCTTCTGTAGCTAAATCAGAGATAAGATCTGAAAACAGTCCTGAGGTTCAAGTCTTGGCTTGTGCACAACAAATGCGACAGGAAGAAACCTCATGAATTCAGCAGAGTCCAAACAGACGTGTTTACAGGCTATATATAGGAGACCAGGTCCTGTTACAGGTACATGCAGCATGCTCTAAACATGGCATCACAAGATGTCCCAGAGGCTTTTAAAGAGCCTATTCTATTACTTTGGAAAGATGGAAAAATAAATGGCTATGCAAATTCCTTGCCTTCTCCTTCTTTGATCCACATCCTTGTAAAAGGGAAATGTGGGAAGTGTTGAGTGGAACTCAGCGGGGTTCTGAACTTCCTCCTTTGTGAACAGGCCAGCTTGATCTCCGTTGAAATAATGGGTGACACAGGCACCCAAAATGAAAGTGACTCAAAGGAGTTATTTAGATCCCTGATTCTTATCGTATAGTCTTGGGATATGAGGAGTCAGAGGGCAGAGACAGAGACTCCAGCCATCATTGCCGGCGTTCAGTGTTGCTCTTGAAATCAGCAGGAAGACCCTAAGTTGTGCTGAGTTATGCTCATGTGCAGGTCTCCATCAGCTATATAAACAGCTCTTTGCAGGGTCAGGACCTGCCTTTTTGGCTCGGAGATGCCTTTCAGGGGGTGAAAGGAAGTTCATCCCCTTCAGCTATAACTCCTTGTTTCTTTCCCTCTCAGTAATGCTGATCCTCAGATTATGAATTCATTTTGCATGCACAGTTTTGCCTCAAAAAGGGGAGAGAGCTGGAAGGATTCCCTCTGACCCCTGGAAAATGAGAGCTTGATGACATTAGGAAAGCAGCATCTCAAATGCAGAACTCCTTTCCCTCCCCTCCATTGGCCCTCATTCAGTAAACTGAGATCTTTGCTGCATCATTCATGCATCCATTTTCATTCAGGGGAACAAAAATCATAAATCCCGCTAAAGGCATCTGTCCTCAACACAGTTCTTCCGCTGATTTAGGAGTAGGACTTCATTCCTTCCACTCTCCTTAACCACATTTGATTAAGGATATTAAGGAGTTTATTACTTCCTGATATCATGTGGGAATGATTTCCATATGTTGCATCATTCTCTGGAGTGGGCAGAACTCCCTCTGCCAGCGAAACAGGCTGCAGCATGGCTGAACCCCAATTAGGGTTTTACTGCAGGAGAGGTTTCATGTGGCCCTTTATAAAAAGATGCACTTCATCCTTAGTTTTTAGATAACTTATAGCATCCTTTCCGCTGGGAAATTAAGCAGACACTCTTCATATCCAGTGCAGCTGCTCCTAGTGTTAAATTGAACTGCTGCTATTAGAGCGAGAGGTTGCTGGAGCTGAGTTATGTTGTTCCTTAATTGTTTATGGCTGTGGATGCCAGCCAAGTAGCAGTCCTGTAGTAGCAAACACTGGAGATATGACCTGGAAAACAGATGTTTGGGCCAAAGCCAAGGTGATTTCAGGAAAGACAGTAAAAGAGAAGCAGGAAACCAGTTATCTGTCTGATGTATTGGGCAGGGTGAAGGAATTCACCCCAGGGCAGAATGCTCACGTGAGGCTGGTGTAACAGTAAACTGATTTTAGCTAGCTTTTATCCAGCCTTTCCATAGGCAAGACCTATTTGCTAGTGCCAGCACTAGGTGTGCCAAACCTACATGCTTTGCAGATGGGTAGAAAACAAAGTCTTTTAGATCTGATACAGTGCAGGGGATTTTTGGAAGTTTAATGGCTTGAGGAATTTTATCAAAATCACATCTCTACAGTGAGTACTGAGTACAGTGAGTACTGAGTAAACAGATCATCCTCAGGCATTCCCCTTTGCTCTAAAGGAGAGAAATAGGTTCATCACATGCTAATGCAGTGTCTAAAATGGGTCCAGCTCATGATTTCCCTCTGTTCCTCTCTTTGGAGCAGGAAACTGCTGCACATGGAAACATGGATGCTGTAGACATCTAAGGTTAGGTGAGATCTGTCCTACCCATGTTTTCACAGAATCACAGGCTGGTTGAGCTTGGAAGGGACCTCTGAAGGTCGTCTTGTCCAACTCTCCTTCTCAAGCAGGACCACATGGAGCTGATTGCTCAAGACCATGTCCAAACAGCTTTTTAGCTCCACAGCTTCTCTGGGAAACATCTTCCATGAAGTGCTTGATTGCACAAAGCTAAAATGAAGTGTTGCACTGGAGAGGAAGGAGGGGGTGTCCAGCATTAAAGACTAAGTAAAGTTTCAAATGACACTGTTTAGGGGACAGATCCACAGATATGCACAAGCATCTTGTCACATCCAACCAGTGATTTTTGGAGCAGTGATTTAGCAGCACAAGATGCTTTCAGTTTTAACTATGTTGTAACCACCTTGATTTCATTGAAATGACATGATTTCCAACCCTAACCATTCTATGATGCTATGGCGCTATGATTCTATTGATGTCAGGCACAAGGTAGCACAAGACACAGTACTTGAGCTGATAGTGTTACTACTTATTAGTGCTGAAGAGTCATCAAAAAAACCTTCCTTTTAGAATCATAGAATGGTTAGGGTTGGAAAGGACCTTAAGATCATTCAGTTCCAACCCCCCTGCCATGGGCAGGGACACCTCACACTAAACCATCTCACCCAAGGCCTCATTAAAAACACCCATGTTCTTAGATCTCCAACACATTGACCAGCAATTCCTGTTGGTACTCTGAGTTTTTAAAAGTGAGTTTTAAAAGTCCTGGGGAGGGAGTGCTTACAGATCTCCTGCACTTCCTCCTGCTCCTGTCTATGGAACAATAGGTTCTTAAAGCCAGGAGTATGGGAACTGAGCATTTGGAAGGGGATACATAATCTTCCCTTGCCCAGAAGTGACCAGAAGTAATAGTGGAATATGTAAAAGCAGAGAAAATGCATCTCCATTCACACAAATAGGCATAGTGCAGATGTAACTGTTGGGTTTTGGTCTTTGCCTCTTCTTAGCTTTCCACACATGCTACATTGTGCAGACAGAACATGCAACTTGGATTTCCCTTCTGCTCCAGAGGCCCTTTGATTTGTTTTTCCTTTTGTCTTTAGACTAATGAATTGAAACAAAGGAAATGGCTAAATAATTGCATTAAACAGGGGGACATATATATACATATAGTTGTTCCTGTTGAAGAGGGCTTTTTACTTAACTTGATCAGATGTCTCTGCTTCTGTAAGTTTAACTTTTTTGTGCCATGAACCACTCATAAACCATTCACTGCACTAATGCACAGTGCCACAAATGCACCTCTTAACAGAGTTACCTGTGCTGGAATACCTAAATACAAGGAGTCACACAGGAAAGTTGAGGCGTGGCTGCACAAGTTACTGCCGGGGAGATTCCAACTGGACACAAGAGGAAAGTTCTTCCCAGTGACAACAATCAGACATTGGAATAATGTCCTGAGGGAAGTGGTGCATTCCCCAACACTGGACACTGTTAATATTCATCTGGACAGGGTGCTGGGACATCTAGTCTAGGCCATGCTTTGCCAAGAAAGGTTGGACCAGATGATCCTTGAGGTCTCTTCTAACCTGGGATTTTATGATTCTAAGTGGCTTTCTAGAGTAAGTTCATCAGGCACTTGTCTAATGTGCTTCTGAAACAGCGCTCAAGAGTGATGCTGCCTTCATCCAGAGGAGAACAGGATTATCCTGATCTCCTGCATCCAGCCCCAGGTGGTGCTTTGTCTTCCCCAATAGCTTCTGTAAAATTCCAAAGTGCTGATGTTTTCCCAGTTGAAGGCAATGCCATATGCAGAGGGCCTTGGCCAGTCTTCAGAGAAAATAGGATAGCTGCTGGTGGCCCATGATCTGTGCATTCCTAGGGACACATATTAGACGTGAGCCAAGTATTTCTGTCCTATCCTGTCTTCCCCAGGAACTGATGGTTTTCTTCTAAGTGCAGTGTCCAAGGTTTACGAGCCTTTGTTCTTTTCCTGAAATCTCAGGTCAGTTGTTAGCTAACCTATCCAGGAGCTGAAACGGGAAGGAGAGTTTTCCTATGCTGTCCATTGTATAGATTTGCTTTATTTAGGGCAACAAATTTGGGGAAGCCTCCTTGCCAAAATCTCTATCAGAGAAGAGCTGCAGCTGGCTGCATGGGCTGTCTGTTGCCAAAGTGTCAGGAAGCACTGCAGTGTCAGTGCTTGTGAATGTTAAGTCCAGAATAGTTGGTGTTTGAGTCCCTCTGCTAACTGTAGCTCTTTGTGTTCATTTTGTACAACAGGAGGAAAAAGATCTCACCATATCCTAACTATGATTCTATATGCGGGACAAAAGCAAAACGAGAACTGGTCACGCAGTATCAGAAAGTTGGACTGAGTTTTACAGCCACCCCAGACTTTCGGACAGGGAGCTGATGGAAACTCATCGCTCCACACTGCTGGGTAAGAGAGCAGACACTCAAGCAAAGGGCTGTGTCTTGGTTTCTCAAGTTTTCCCCTCTCCTTGATGGGCCTGCCTCCTGTCTCTTTGAACAGAGTCCAAGTTTTAAAGTCACCCCAGCCAGAGCAGTTATCATCATTCTTTCAGCGGAGAAAATCCTTTCCATGTTGTCCACCACTGTGATGAAAGGAGAAGCTCGTCTTGCCAGAGACTGAATTTGTCTGGCAGAAAACCACCGTTTTCAGGTAAGAAAGTGCCCTTCCCAGCAAAGAATCTGGCCTTCTTCTGTGTGAGGTTAGAGAAGCTGCTCTTGGGATAGAGCATTTTATGTGTAAAATGAAGAGACCTGGCTGCATCCAGCACCACAAGACATTCAACTTTTTGCTGCTGTAGTTGAACAGTATATTGTTGTCAATGTATTAGACAGGTAACAGCTAGTGATAGGACTTTTTAGCTTTGGTGGTCCAAAATAGAGACATCTGCAGCTGCGTTCAAAGTGCCTCTTGCTCCCCATTGAGTAGAAGGGGAGCCAGGAAAAACAAGCTCAGAAGCTGGCACAGAAGTTGGGTGGTAAATCCCAGACCTTGGACCCAGATGGCACAAGGGTGGGCACCAGCTACAGCAGTTAATAACTTCTGTCTTCACCGAATGCTCTCTCTGAAAGCTCTGAAAGAGAAGACCAACCCAAAGGCTTTTTGTGTTTCTTGGCATCTTCATTTTATATGTTCCTGTTTCCAGCTGCTTAAAATTATCCTAAGGTCCTTTTTTGTTCCACTCTCTAGACAGTGAGGTTCGTAAGACCTGAATTTTCTCTTTATAGCTTCACTTCTGAATATGGGTCAGCACTCAGGCAGTTGAATGGCCAAGATCATTTTCCTGCTGCATATAAATAGCACACAGTTATTTCACAGTTTCATGTTCAGCTTGCAGTCTTCCAACAGCCTTGTGTTCCCGAAAGCCTTTCTATTCTCATCGCATTTGGGTTCTTGAACTCATGATTCAACATAAATTACAGCAGAGGTTAACCCAGCTAAGAAAGTCCTGATTTGGCTTCTGTGTATTGTCATTCCTGATGGCTGGTGTCCAGTCACCGGTACTCAGAGTTGCTGTTGTGGGTCTTTCCAGCCCTGCAATGAGTTCAGCTGCACAGTTGAGCTGAGTTACTCTACCTTACCCACATTAGGCTGCACTCGCTCAGCCCATCATCTTGCTAGACAGTAGAGGAAGTCAGAGAGTCTCCAGCTGGGTGGATAACCAGCAGTCGGCTTATTCCTGTCCGACAGAGATAAGAGGCTGGTTAAAACCAAGGGAATTTTTAGACTCTTCCCAACTGTCTCCTGTCTTCTGTTTGACACAGGACTTGTCATGTCGCCCTTTCTGCGCATCGGTTTATCCAACTATGACAGTGGCCCTTACCTGCCATCCCAAGGGGAGGTGATTAACCCATACTGTGCTGTGATGGTGAAAGAAGCTGTGGACTCAGGTAAGCGGGGAGGAGTTAAATGTGCATGTGAGCTTTTATAAGATGTGTGTGCCTTACTGTGTAATTTCTAGCATGTAAAAAGCATACTGATAAATCTTTATAATGGTTCGTGTGGTGCTTTTCTTGTCTCAGCACAGGGCAAGATTGGGTTCGTCATATCATGCGATCAATCTGATTTTAAGACGATGCCCTACAAATCTATGTCTTCAATTTGAGGTTATTATGAACTGAATTACAGGTCCCAGCATGTGACATAGCAGATGAACTGAGTATTCGGTTTCACTTTTCTATGAGCAGTTGCTGGTCTGTCAGTGGGACTACTGACAGATGAAATCCATGTGTCCTAGAAATATCCTGGGAGGGCTGTCTTTGTTTATCACAGGCTTTGAGGAACTGACAGGTCCAGCAAATTCCATCATTTAAAACATAATAGCTCTCAAACAACCCCAGTCTTTGCAGAGAGAATTAATTTCTCTGCATAATTGCTGTACTATGTAATACGTACCATTGTATAATGTTTGAAAGTGAAACCTCCTGCTAAACTGTTTTCTGTGTCTGGATACATGGGTTGTTCCTTTTCCTGATTGAACACCACTGACGAGTCCTCATTGGGAAAACGTTTCTTATATGTCTCATGCATGAAAATAGACCCAGTGGTAGGATGAAAAGTTCTTCACTTCTGCTATTCAGCAGTCATGAAGAGCAACTTCAGTGTTAGGAAACTTCAGCCTCATATTGGCTGTTATTTATCTTCAGTCTTTAGTAAGTTCTTAACTTGACTGCTGTGATTTGTTATAAAATTAAATCAACTCAGAAACACTTTTTTATACCTTGAGGATCCCCATGGCTCCTTTCTTCAGAGAATGTTAAAGCAGTTTAAAAGAAGTTTTAGACTCTTAAATTAATTCAGTATTTCACTGAGGGTTTTCTTGTCTGTGTTGGTTTGGTTTTTAAGAGTCTGCATTTATCACACTGAACTTTAGCTTGGCTTAAATGATCTTTTAAATTAGTAAAGGAAGTTGTGAATGCTCCATTCCTGGCAGTGTTCAAGGCCAGGCTGGACAGAGCTTTGGGTGACATGGTCTAGGGTGAGGTGTCCCTGCCCATGGCAGGGGGTTGGGACTGGATGATCTTAAGGTCCTTTCCAACCCAAACCATTCTGGGATTCTATGATTATGGAAGATGTGGTAACTGACAAATTGAAAAGGAAATATTGTGTGATGAGATATCCCTCAGATCCCACTTTTTACTGAAAATGTGTCCCATTTCAACACTGTGCAGGGCTTGGCTTTAATGAGGCCTTTGAAAGCAATGATAATAATAATATCTCTGCCAACAAGAAATCAAGACGTGTGTTTGGGGGAACTTTTCTCCATTAATGTTCACCGACTATAAGACAAACTACATCCTGCTGTTAAAAGATTTCTCTTTGCTAGGGTGTAATTGCACTCATCTAATGGTAGCTCAGAGTATGGTGGGACTGCCAGAGGCACTCCTCATATCAGTGATAGTAACAGGAACCTCCTGAGATTGATTCATCTCAGACTTCCCTCTTAGAGTGGGTTGAACCCCCCTTAGGAGGTATTAATCTGCTGCTGGTGAAGGGTCTTTGAAATTGTAGATGGCTGACCTTACCTTTAAGGTGACTAAGACAAGATGAGGCCATGGTGGGACTCATTTCCTGTGTAATTCCAGTATTCTGCAAGAATGTTGATAGCACAGCAAGTCAGCTATCCTTGTATATAGCCATGGGGAACAAACAGGGATGTCCGTGGTGGGATTCATCTTGAGGAAGACATCCATAATGGGTCTGATGAATCGTACCCTGGAAAAGCCCAGTGCTCAAGGGCAGTTTACATAGTACACTCAGAGGTAGGGGTCTGATTTTATTGAGATAAGCTGACTCTAAATGCCAGAAATGCTCTGAACGTGACCATCCCAAGGAGCTGTTGTGCTCAAGCCGGCTTAGAGAAGGCAAAAAGCAATGAAGGTCTCAGGACAAACATTAGCTGAATAAATCTGGAATAGCTGCATCCCTGCTTTGTGATGTTTTGATTATAGCTTGCTCTCCAGCTCCCAGGTTTCACAATGCACTTGCTACTCAATGGCACTGGGATTAAACCAAAAGAAGTTATAGTGGTTAAAGTAGCATGTACTAGGGGTAGGAATGGACAAGCTCCCAGCCTTGTGCTCTGACACATGGCCAGTAAGGTTTCTTTAGGGTAGATGACTGCTATTCAGCGGTGAGTGCAGAATGAAGGGCAGGATGTGCCCAGAGCCAGAGCTGAATCAAGGATAGGTCCAGTCCCATACCCCTGCAGGCTCTGTGCTGGAACTGGTTTGGTAGATGACTCTACTTTGAGTTTAGCAACGTCCTGTTATGGATCAGATATGTGTTTGTGCATTAGGAAAGTGTGAGGGGGTTGGTTTGATTGGCTGGTTTTTGCAAAGGCAGCAGCAGTAGATGGTAAATGTGTTTAATTCCCCCCAAAAAAGGGAGTTTAACTTCGGCTTCATGCCAAAGACCATCTGTTGTTAACCAGCCATGATGAATAAGCCATTGGGACAGAGGTCCCCAGAGGTCTGGGAGTAATGCACGTCATCTGTGGACACAGCGCTGTCACAACAAGGCCACCCTAAAGAATTTCAGAAGCTCAGGAAACATCTTGCCCAGATTTATTTTTTTTTGGGGGGGAGAGGGGTGTTTCCACTTTTTTACATTTTAAGAGGGACCTTGGTATTTTATGATATAATCTTTAAAAACCAGAAAACTGGTGACAAAACATTTCAGAGATCGTAGCAGCCCCTGAGTTTAAAAGAATCTTCCCTTTAAGAATAGCTTCTTCCTTCACGAGCTGCCCAGGGTCACTTTGCCACCTGACTTGGTGACATTTGCTTCATGAAAGCTCCTGCTCCATGTTGGAATTCCGCAAGGAAAAGCTCTCCCAGCCACAGCACAAGCCACTGCCTGGGAAAGACAGCTGCTATTTTAACTGTCAGGAACCCAGGGTTGGGTTAATCCCTGGCACAATTCCACAGACATCAGCAGGGATGTGCCGGGGTGACTGTCTGATCCCTTACGTTGGCTGCTTCATCCACATTCCAGGGTTGTTTATTTAAAGCCTGGTGTTTTGGGGTGAGGTGCAAACAAAAGCACTTGTTTTGCAAGGGCTGTGCTTCACATCCATGGAGCTCCACTGATGTAGCAAAGAAATGATGGTCCTTACTGAGATTCCTGCTCTCTGTGGTGCTGGGGAGTTTATGCCTCATTTTTAGGTCTGAGTTTGTCTGGTTTTGTTGAAAGAGTGTGTTATAAAGTGTGTGTTATAGATACATTTAAAGGCTTGGTGGGAATGAATTAAGTCTGCAGACAATGAGCTTAATATATGATTGCCTCAATCTGGGAATGTGAAAGTCAACCTCACTTAACTGATAGAGATGGATTCACCTTACACTGAGGTGCTCTAAACCCTGGGGAAACTGAGTTTGAACCTAAAATAGAGCTGCACAACCACTTGTCATGCCAGTCACAAGAAGCTTGAGAAGTGATTTTATGCTGCAGGAATGATCTCTGCTCAGTTTTGTGATGCAGACCAGTGCTGATGGTCGGGGTACTGCAGCTTAGATCGAGTTTATGTGATCAAACAAAGTGCAAAGCTACAACAGGTGGTTGATCCTGGAGTGAAACCTCATCAAGTCAGTATTGGCTGGAGGTTCCTGCATGCCTCTCCTCAGGAAGCTATTTTCTCAATGTAGAGCTATCTAGTAAGTACAATCTACGTAGTGGCTCTGGCAGTCATTTCTCTATTGTACAGGGTGAAGGCAGGATTTTGCTATCTCACAGCCCTGATAGTTGTTCTCTCCCAAGTAAACGTTCTTTCGTTTCCTGAGATGAATATTACACAGTTAGGAATCACTGCTTCCTTTCTTCTCCTTCTCTCCTGCCTGCAATAACTTTGGAGCTTGTTTACAAGTTTTAGCCCATCCTGAAGATGCGGTCCAAGCCTTAGAAATACTGGAGCTCCACCTCTGTAAATCAAAGCTGAGCAGAGGGAAGAAACCTGAGTTAGTCCTCCAACTGGGAAAGATTTTTCCCCAGCATGTGTCATGTTCCAGGCTATTGGCTGCATGTGATTTTCCAGCTGGATGAGGGAAAGGCTGGGATTATTGGAAACAGGAGCAGGTCTTTAGGAGACAGGTGTCGCAGGTCTGCTGCTCGCACAACTGCTTTTCATTCTCTTAACCCACCAGCTTTGGCATTTGATGGGTTGAAAATTTGCAGAAAGTAACTGTGAAATAGAATTTACTTTGAGTAAGCAGCCAAGCCTTTTACAGGGCTGTACGAAACAAAACAGGCTGTATGAAATAAATAGACCTAGAAACGCTTTTCAGAGAGAACTGACTAGAGAGAACTCTCTACAAGCTAATGCTAGGCCTCTGAAACACCCAGTTTTTACCCATCACTATGTTAAGATGAATCTGCTGTGAAGGAAGAGGAATTAATATGTGAAGAAGAAGTGCAAGAGTTTGCTAGGTTGAAAACTGCATCACTGTGAATGTGGTTGCAGTTCATGTAGCAACAACCCAGAATGAGTGAGATGCAGCAACTGAATGGACATGGGCTCCAGCTGAAGGTTAACCATGAAGCACACCCAGCTGTTGGGGGGATTGAAGCAAACCTTGTGTTTTTGCATTGCCATGGGATGTATGATACATGTAGCTGGTTATCAGTGATGAGGTTCATCTAATTAGGAGCGTCAGAGTCTACATCTGAGGTCCACTCAAGAGTGGAAATTATCTTTTCTATGGTAAATGCCTGTATTTGGTCAAATGAACACACCCTAACTGCACTAACTTACATTGACTATATTCTGTTCACTGTCTCTGAATGGAACCAGCATTCAAACAGCTCAGATATGGGCATACACATTGTAGACACCTAAAGTTAAGTGTGAGGTGAATCCCATCCTAGGTTTCACTTCACAGAGTATCCCCCTGAGACACTCTAACACGGTCCATCACACACCATAGAGAGAGACCTTTAAGTGGGTAAATAACACAGACCTGTCTCAGGAACTTCGTGCAGATGAGAAGCAGGTCCAGGCAATTCACATCACTTCTTGTTGACAGAAAATGGCCAAGTGTACGTGCAGAAGAAGCCCACCATGTACCCACCTTGGAACAGCACTTTCGATGCCCACATCAACAACGGCAGGGTCATGCACATCGTCGTCAAGGACAAAAGTGCTGAAATGGTTTCAGAGACCACGGTGGAACTCAAGGTGCTGGCAGAGAGGTGCAAAAAGAGCAATGGGAAGACAGAGATGTGGGTGAGCATCTTTATCTCCTCTTGTGGGATGTGATGGGGTATGGGAATGCCTTGTGTCCGTGCCATGCTGTGACTTAACCAGCAGAGCAGCAGGAACTGGTTGCCATCCAAAGAATAATGTTTTCAGTTTGCTTAGGTATGACTTGAAGGAAAGATTCCCATGCATGTCAGAATAAAAGAGCACAGCACATTATATTACCTGCTGCTGTTACATCAACTGATATATCAACATGGCAGGGGGTTGGAACTGAATGATCTTAAGGTGCTTTCCAACCCAAACTATTCTATGATCCTACATTGAAACATGCCTTCTGTTAGCAAGGGTTCCAGTTCAGGGGAGCTATGCCCACGTATTAATCTTTGCTTACGAAACCCACTGGGGACAAATAGTAATATGAGTGGCTAAATGTGAATTATTTTATGTGTTCTGGGGAAACAGCTTTAAAAATTTAACATCAAGTAACTGATTCACAGTTACCTGGCTTCAGGTTTATGTCAGAGGAACTCCTTTAAAATCATGAGTGGAGTAGATCTGAAGTAACAGTCTTCATAAGGAGGCTAAATGTAAGGCTGTATTCCCTGGTAGCCCAAGCAAGAAAGTTCTTGATAGTCTTTAACATGTAGTATTCAGTAGTCATGCTGTGAATAGCTATAAAGTGAAAAGACATTTGGAGAGAAACTTATTTCCTTGTTTGCTTGTTTCTCATGCCAGTTCTCAGGCTAAGCTGCTTGGGGTATGAAGAGAGTAGAAAAGGCAAAAAGGCCTCAGTCACTTAGCAGACCTAAGAGCGAGATATGGTAGAGATTTGCACATGTAACACGTATCTTGGAAGTAATTAGGATGCTTAAGGAGGGGATTGAAAACCAAAAGGCTTTTCTCAGCGTGACTCCATTCCCAGCCTTTAAAGCCATGGGTAGCAGTGGCCTGGTGAGGAGAAGAGGGATCACATAGTCTGGTCTGCTGCTTGCTTGCATCAAGGGTGACAGACCTGAGGTCAAGTGGAGCTGGGAGACCCTGATCCTGTTGTGTCCCAGATTGGTCGCATCTCCTGAGATCTCCTCTCTACTCATTCCCCGGCACAACCTGGGGGAGATGGTCCCAGGTATCCCATCCTGCAAGGGTCATGAGGAGAGAGAATAGCACTTTTCCCACTTCTCTGTGCAAGGGCACTGTTTCCTCTGGAAGGCAGACAGGTAACCTTGCTCAGGCTGTGCTGGAGGTGAGTGAGGAAGTCCCTGTTGTGATCCTCAGGCTGAAGAAATCTTTGAATGTAGGTGTTTTTATACCTAGGCAAGTGGATACTGATTTACAAAGGCATCTATGCATGGAGGTTCAGGTAGGTGGGAATTTCCAACTCCAGTGGGAAGGCCCCAGAAATGCCTAAGTAAGCTTGTAGCACCACTCATGCTGACTGTAATGGAAGTTAGACTTGCAGAACCAAGTGTCTAAAAGATTTTAGCATCTTTTAAGTACCTTTCTGAAGTTGGCTTATTTTGAGGTGCTCTCACTTCCAACTTGCAGGATCTACTGGGAGCAAGCAGCTTACTCTATAGATACTGCTGGTCCTGCACTAGTGTCTAAAATCCTTCCTACAGCTTCTGTGATTTAGTCATATTTATCCCTTCTATCATGCCACTCTGAGTGTTTTATAAGAGGCGATCTAGCCTCCTCTCTCTATAGTTGCTCCTACCATGCCTTCTTGCCACACATTGATATGAGCAACCCCAAAACTACCATTAATTGACATTCATTAATTCCCACTGGGAAAAGGGCATATTTTGAATCACCTGAAATGATTGTTTCTTCTTTGAATGACTGATTAATGGTTGCACTGGTTTCTCTTTCTTGTTTTTCACTTACCTCAACCAGCTAGAACTGAAACCTCAAGGACGAATGCTGATGAATGCAAGATACTTCCTGGAAATAAGTGGCAAGTGATTTAGTTTGTCTATTGATAGATGTGATTTCTGGTTATGTGGGGCACAGCTGGTGTCTTCACTGAAAGTGGTGCCTATGTGATTACTGGTTTATTCCTAGGAACCATCATAGTGGTTTGAAATGAGCAGCACGGAAAAGCAATTTTTATTGTGCGGTGGGGATGAAGACTGACTCTTCCTCTGTGATTTGCAAGGCAGATTTTTGGCTGGTTTGCCACTAAAATGGTAGATTTTCTCATTATAATCAAGACAGAATAGATACATAAGGATCCATCTCCCTCTGAAATCATTATACTTGTATGTAAGCATGTAACATCTGCTATGCTGTGCGTTATAGTGCAGATGTAAAGGTTGAGGTATGATTTAAGGTTGACAACACCTAGGCATGCTTGTTAGTTGGGCATTTAAGATCAAGAGCAATCTAGGCAAAACAGGAAAAGAACCTAGAGAGTGATTCATCTGATCACATGCAGGTTTCTGCTGCAAGGTGAGTCATTCACTGGGCTCCACTGACTGCTGAAGCTAGACCTCCAGGGACATAGCAGCAGCTTAGTCACCCTGGAGAGGGGACACGCAGTAGTTTATGTGTCTTCACTGGGAACCAAATCCCACCTGCAGAGTTTGATGTCCATGTGAAATACATTTTGCTTCGTGGAAGAAAACAGGTTGCAATCCATATGCTCGATCTTATCCTCCTGTCTTTGATGACAAAATTCTCACACCCACAGATGTGGGTGAAGCTGTAAGGTGTAGATACGTAGAAGGACCTCCTATTCATAGAAACAGAAGTACTGAAAGCAGCTAAAAGCATGTCCACACTGGTGTTTTATCCATTGATTAATATGGAATAGACTATTGTTGCCTCCTTGTATGTTATGTCAGAGAGGCCACAGCATAGGAAACACAAATTGTCCTTGTATTACAAACAGCAAGATCAGCATCAGATCGCACATGGGGCCAGTTTCCACAGAATACATGTGAAACTTGCTGTGCATTGTGTGAGTAAAAGGAAACAGAGATTGAGAGTGAGACAAAGCATGCATATCTAGATTTGTAGGCACAAGCACATATGTAAGTTCACACGTGCATGTGCAGTCAGAATTGGTTCTCCTGCTGTTCTAAAAAGGTTAAATGTGAATAATGGCATGGATACAGCAAACAGCAAAGTAATTATTGGCATGGAAAAATAACAAGACAAAGAATATCCTAGGAACATATATAGGTGCTTACTCACACACTTGTACACATAAAGGATTCTGTTAAATACCCATATATATTATATACAAAAGTGTGTTTGTGCATATATAGATAATTATTAATTTTTATGCATTTTCATCTGGTTTAGGTCATGGTTCTTCAGTGCTATACAAAGTTAGAAGTTCATGTTTAATTGCAAGTTATCTCTCCTTGGGAAATTTCTGGTCTACATTTCAAAAGCAGCATCATGACTGTTCAAGAAAGCTCAGGGTCCCAAGTTTAAAGTCATTTTAGTGTCCTTTTAGGGATGGCAGATAAAAACCCATACAAACAAGGCTTCTGTGGGTTTCAGAATATGGTATGTCTTAAAAATACTCATTTCCCTCAGTGAATCAGCTTCAGTCATTTAATGTTTTGGTAGCTGCATTTTCTCAAGGCACCTTATCAGACAGTTATCTGTTTCTTGTCCCCCCCAGATGCAAAGGACCTGGCTGACAGTGAGACTGAAGCCTTCTCCCTCCACCAGCGCAGGGGAGCCATCAAACAGGCCAAAATCCATAATGTCAAGTGTCACGAGTTCACAGCCACCTTCTTTCCACAACCCACCTTCTGCTCTGTGTGCCACGAGTTTGTTTGGTAAATGAAAATAGATCTCTGCCCTTTCTCCTTTTAGTCCTCGGGATCAGTTCTTGGGTAGATGTGGCACGTACTTAGAGGCATGGTTCAGTGGTGGACTTGGCAATGCTGGGTTAATGGTGGGACTCAATGATCTTAAAGCTCTTCTCCAACCTAAATGATACCACAATTCTACGATTCTCCAATGGCTATCTGTGCTCCAGCTGTCAGTAAGGCAGCAGGATGAGACCTTTGACATCTTACCTGTTGAGTTATTACATCACTTCCAGGATGTGGTTCACAGTTGTAATTCCAACTGTGAAAGCTCCCTTCATTTTTTAGTAGGAAGACAGGCTGAGAACACTGGGGCTGCTCAGCCTGGAGAAGAGAAGCTGTGTGGAGACCTCAGAGCAGCTTCCAGTGTCTGAAGGGGGCTTACAAGGATGCTGGAGTGGAACTCTTCATCAGGGACTGTAGTGATAGGACAAGGGGTGATGGGTTCAGACTGAAACAGGGAAGGTTCATGTTAGATATAATGAAGAAATTCTTTACTCTGAGGGTACTGAGCCACTGGAATGGGTTGCCCAGAGAAGTGGCAAATGCTCCACCCCTGCAAGTGTTCAAGGCCAGGTTGGACAGAGCCTTGGGGAACGTGGTCTGGTGTGAGGCATCCCTGCACATGGAAGAGAGTTAGAACTGGGTGATCTTAAGGTCCTTTCCAGCCCAAACTATTCTGATTCTATGATCTCTGGCCAAATGCACAGGCATTTCTTATCAGCCCAGTTTGCTCTTTGGGTATCGTGAAATTCAGACTGTATGTGCTGAGAAGGCTGTGAAAACCACAGAGAATCACTCCACAGTTAGATTGAATGAAGATGTTTTAATTAGAGAAGCTCTATGAAGACTGATAAAAAGCAAAGCTGTTTTATTCTGTTCCTTTTATAAGCATTGCTCTCTTTTTTTCCCCTCAAGGCTTTCAGGCAATTCAGCATCAACCATTTCTCTGTTTCTTTCAGGGGACTGAATAAACAAGGCTATCAATGCAGACGTAAGAAACCTTTCTGATGTTGTTACAATCTTTATTTACTTGTTCTTTTCTGAAGGAATATTTTATTAACACCGTGACACGCTTGTTCTTTCAGAATGTAACGCTGCCATTCATAAGAAATGCATTGATAAAGTAATAGCCAAGTGTACAGGATCAGCAGTCAATAGCAGAGAAACAATGGTACGTATTGTTGTTTGACTGCTTTTAATAAAGCTTGAGTGTCATTCAGATCTGCCCTACATCGTTGTAAAGCAACTTCTGATGAAGCAAAAGGAGCTACTGAACTAAAGGCTGTGTGAGCTGATCTGTGACCTTTGCCTTTTACATTCCTAGTGGTTTCATTACCTCCTACTTGTGCTTTACTCAAATGCAGCTGCTGAATAAGCAGTTGCTGAATCAAGATTGAGATTCTTCTAATGTATGAAGTATAGCTCAGGGGGAAGTCATGGACATGAGGTGGAGATCTACTGGAGGAAATTATTCACTCCCTGATGTTAGACAGGATGGTATGTTGAATTTTCGAAACAGGACTTTAACATCCCACTCCGGGTTATCTGAGATTTCCAAGCAGTGAGCGGAAGATCTGGCATCTCCACTATTACTAGTTTTATTTTCTCGTATCACTTTATTATAAACCCTCTTTTTTTTTTTCTGGTAGGCAAAACTGGAACTTGATCTCTTGATAGGACTATTCCCTTTTCCTTAGCTGTGCTCCAGAGGTTCTGTTTGCTTTCAGTCCCACCCCGGTTCCTGTTCTCCTTCTGCAGTCTTGAGAGATGAGATCCATCTCTTTTGTCTTCTGACATCTCCAGGGTAGCTGTACCCAACTTAGTCACCACCTTTGACTCCCTGTGCACTTAAAAAAGAGAAACAGGCTCTTCCAAGAGTGATTCATTAAAACAAATGTAGACATCCTTTTCAGGAGGAGATTGATAATTTTTAGAAGTGCCATTGTTTTTCCATTGAGCGTTAAGGGAGGCTGGTTGTATAGATGAGATGTAAGCAGCTCTCTGGTCAGAAGATCAAGCCCAGGGATGAAATTACCCAGTTCCCACTGAACTGCAGTTATTATTTGGCTTTGTATATTTGAAATGATAGCTAAAGATAGTTTCTTCTTGATGGTCATACCCAAGGATAAAAGGGCAATAGGCATCCCATCTTCTGTGGTACAAGTCCAAGGCCAGGTTGGATTTGGCTTTGAGCAGCCTGTTCTAGTGGAAGGTATCCCTGCCCATGGAAGAAGGTTGGAGCTAGGTGATGTTTAAGACCCCTTCCAACCCGAACCATTCTATGATTCTACGATAGGTCTGGTTTTCCAAGCAAAGCTGAGGTGGGCTGAATTGCCAACATGGCTTTTCTCTTGCAGTTTCATAAAGAACGGTTCAAGATCGACATGCCTCACCGCTTCAAAGTCTACAACTACAAGAGCCCAACATTCTGTGAGCACTGTGGCACGCTCCTCTGGGGCCTTGCACGGCAAGGACTGAAGTGTGATGGTGAGTCCCTGATGTAACTGGCACAACCTGAGCATGGGAGTGGGCTGTTGTCTTTAGAAGGTTGCAACCTGAAGAACCAAATCTCATTTACTATACCCTCCAAGACCAGTATGAGATGCCATCCAGGGTGGTGAAGGAGTGGTCCAGAGGATTAGCCTTCAAGGAGTATCATTCTTCAAGGAGAACATTTGTCAGTATACAGAAAGATATGTGGTCCATGAGGCTGAAGAGTCATTTCCCAAAGAGGCAAAGAACATCTCAGTGGTACTGCTGATCTTCCAAAATGACTCCCAGTATTAACTTAAATGCTCTATTTCCACTAGCAGACAAACTCAAGACACTTCATCTACATAACCCTGTACCAATGGGGAGATTCTGTTCTGTGATTATGGTTTATCTCTGAGCTGATATATTCAAACTGTGAGTTTAAGTTTTGGTACCATTTTGAGTTTTGGTAGCCTCTAGCTGCAAAGGCTGATGGATGCTGAAATGGACCTTTTGTCTTGAAAGAGATATAAAAAACATTGTCTCCATTGAGAAACAAATAAAATGACCCGAGTGCCATTCCATGAGACATAAATGGTGCCCAAGCTTTAAGCTGTTTGTGTGGCTATCTCTGCCCTTGGCCAGCAGCACCACATGCTCCTGCCCAACCTCATGTCAAAGCCTTTACAGCCTCACAGTCCTTTGTTGTTCTAACACCTCTTGTTCTTTCTTTCAGCGTGTGGCATGAATGTCCATCACAAGTGCCAGATGAAAGTAGCAAACCTTTGTGGAGTTAACCAGAAACTAATGGCTGAAGCTCTGGCAATGATAGGGAGCACCCAGCAGGTAAATACTTTAAGTCCTGCGTCACATGGAGAAAGGAGGATCACCTGTTCAGTGTTTGTTTCAGTGCAAGTAATTTGGGCATTGAGTGGAGCACATATCACAGAAGGCTGCGGGTTCCTCTATGTTACCAAACCCCTGGACATTAGGTACAGAGATGCTTGTCTCATAGCAAAGACCTCTTCTAGATCCTGGCTTCTGTGACAGTCACAGTCAAGAAACCACAGTGTCTGTAAGATCAGAACTAGAAGAGGGTAGATTTAGATTATATTAGGAAGAAGCTATTCACTATGAGGGTGCTGAGGCGCTGGCACAGGGTGCCCAGAGAAGCTGTGGCTGCCCCATCCCTGGCAGTGTTCAAGGCCAGGTTGGACACAGGGGCTTGGAGCAAGCTGCTCTAGTGGAAGGTGTCCCTGCCTGTGACTAAATAATCTTTAAGGTCCCTTCCAACCCAAACCACTCTGTGCTTTAATGAACATGACACAGGGCTCAAAATGTCAAAACCATGACATTAGCTGTTTTCTGTAATCCAGGCTCGCTGTCAGCGTGACACTGAACAGATCTCCAGGGATGGACCTCTTGAAATTGGCTTCCCTGTTACTACGAAGGAGGTGACAACTCTTCAGGCATTGCCAGCATCCACAACAGGAAAAAAAGGTGATACAGGGCAGCAAGCTTTGTTAACATTTTTGCTTGGTCCATGGTTATGTAGAGGTGACAAAGGAATTTATTAGCCAGTGAATCTTTCATGCATCTTTCCAGCCTAGAGCAAGACGTACCCTTTCTCATCTCAGGATATCAATAACTCTTCCTGACAACATCACTTGGGCATGCCAGGTAGGATCTGAGCCTGATTCCTTCTCTATAAATCAGCATTTCCTCCATGCCATCCAACCTCTAGTGAAATGAGACCCCAACCTTCATTCACCCAGCTAACCCCTAAACTCTTTTTCTGACCCAGTGCTTGAGCACATCTCATACCTCCACTGGCAAAAATATGTTTGTTCCCTTTTTGGGGACTCATAAACTGTAAAATCTGAGAACTTTAAAGAGAAACCAAGCTCTAAACACGAGATTGGGAATCCTTCTGATCACCATGGCCAATTCTGTTTCTGGTTTCATATTTTTGGTTGTGGGTTGAACCCACAGTACCTTTGAAAACCATTGACAGATTCCCACATTCATTCATTCATTCATTCATTCATTCATTCATTCATTCATTCATTGCCCAGGAACTGATCTTGGTCTCAGGGTCCTCTGTGCTACAAGAACGAGTATTTAGGAAGGTGAATGAGAGATTGGGGAGAAGCTTTAACAGACTTTGGACAAAGCTACTGGGGGCTCAGTGGCCTCAAACAGAACTTAAAGTCTCTTGGGGAAATCCCTGGTTTGTCTGCTTTGTCAGCCAAACTTTGTTTGAGTCACAGAACTCTGAATATTAAGAGCAAAAATGTCACCATCTTTCATTGTACTCATGTGACCCACTTAAATGGTCATTTCAGAACCCCTCCACCTTCATGGCTCCCCTCCAAGCACTGTTCTGTGACTGCAGCAGCCCTATGATGGTACCGACACAATGGTTTTTGGCCTCCCACAAGCTTTAAAATGCATCTACCAGAACGTGAAGGGAGAAAGAGTGCAAGTGAATCAATACTTAAGCCTGGCAAGGACTGGGACAGTGGATCTTCAGCTGCAAACCCAAACAAATGTCAAGCTGAGAGCCTAGGCCCCACTTTCTTAATCATAGCATCATAGAATCGTAGAGTCGCAGAATGGTTTGGGTTGGAAAGGACCTTAAGATCATCCAGTTTCAACCCCCTGCCACGAGCAGCGACACCTCACACTCAACCATGTTCCCCAAGGCTCTGCCCAACCTGGCCTTGAACACTGCCAGGGATGGAGCATTTAGCTCTTCTCTGGGCGATCTGTGACAGGGCCTCAGCACCCTCACAGTAAAGAACTTCTTCCTTATGTCCAACCTGAACTTCCCTTATTTCAGTTTGAACCCATCACCCCTTGTCCTATCACTACAGTCCCTAATGAAGAGCTCCCCTCTGGCTTTCTTATAGCCCCCTTCAGCTATCAGAAGGCTGCTGTTAATGCAAGTTAATAGTATCCTGTCTGAAGATAATATCCTGGAAACTGGACCTCGAGCAAAAAGTCAGAAGGCACTAGTTAAAGCATGGCAGAGCCACTTCATACCAGTGCTCTGGGTTTGATACTGTGCAACAGCAAGCTGCCAAGCCTCTGAGGCTGGTTTTGGTGCTATCTGAGCTCAGGGGATAGTGCACTTTGGCCCCCAAGGGGGAAATAAATGATATCCCCATCTGTGCTTACTTTCTTTCTTTTCTACAAGTAGGACTGGCTACGCTGATATGAATCAGTAAAGCCCCAGATGGTTTCACATCTGTTTTACATGTGGGTCTATTTGTCTGATGTGTAGTGTTCTTGCTGTTCAGCAAATTAGAACAGTACAGCACTGTGTATTTCAGTGCATGGGATAAATCCAGTAATGGCCAGGATATCTCAGAAGTTCACATATATCCAAGTGTATACAGTAATGAAGAAAATCTGACTAGTTCCACTCCAGGACAGCTGGAATACTTGATCAGAGCTTCACATCCATAGTAGGTGCCTAGTACGAAAATGCTGCTCCATCTTTTCGTCTTGCTTTGCCAAGGGTCTTGAGAAGACCTTGAAAAAATGGGACAGCATCATAATAGCAATGAGCAAGAAGGACTGAAGTACACAGGCAGCCAGAAATGAAGGTCATGGTTTCGCTGCCGTAAAACAAAGAGACAGATGTAAAGTGGGAGTAATGCCACTGAAAAAGGTGGAGTTACACAGGAGTGAACTTTGGGAGCAGATCCAATCTACTTAGTAGATGTGGCCACTGTGTATTTGAAATACCCTCTTGACACTAAGCACAATGCCTGTAAGTGGTCTGGGGATTTTCCACTTGTTCCAGGGGTTTATTTGAATGCTTTGACGTGTGTTGCAGAGCCACAAGGCATCTCCTGGGAGTCTCCAGTGGAGGGCACAACAAAAGGGGAATCTCTGATAGAGTCAGACTCAGGAGAACAGCCCCAGGAGCAGCAAGAGCACCAAGTGCAGCTAAAACTAAGCATTGAGGATTTTGTCCTGCACAAGATGCTGGGGAAAGGCAGCTTTGGCAAGGTAAGCATCAGGGGGACTGAGACACCATTGAATGCATCTGTATATTGCTTTCTATGGCACTAAATAGCATCTGGTTTGAGGGCCACATAGGAAAAAACATCTCCAAGACTCCAAGGAGCCCTTGGTCTGGCATGGCTGACTCTTGAATCAGACTTCTTTCCTCAGACAAAGACCTTCCCTCTGTCCCAGTAGTTGCTGTTTCATGAGTGCCCGTGATAGGAGAGAAAAGCAGCCAAATAAAGCTGCACCTTCCCCTGCTGTGCAGGTTGATGTGGCCTGGGTATCCACAGAGAGGAAGATCTCCATGCTGTCCCTCTCCTGCTGGCTTAGCTGAGCAAGTTCAGAGGGAGGTGAAAGCTTTAGCTGAAAAGCTAAGTGTGGATCACCTCTCCTCTCCGGAGCAGCAGGTCTCCAGCTGGGAATGCTAACTGATCTTTCCCATCTCCGTCTTCCCATCCAGTTTGTGCTGGAGCATAAAGCAAACTTTGTAACAGCCAAGAATTTGTGCTTTTGGAACAAGAACCACCTGTTTTCAGTGGATTCATTAATCTTGATGAATTGCTCCTCCTCCCAGATGTCCCCTGGAAGGGGACTCGCGTTGTTCAGTGCCTACATAAAGCTGCAGGAAGCAATTTCAGAGGAACTCACCATTGTATTTTCGTAGCCAATAAGGATAATGTGTATCATTATGTATTGCTCATATCTCACATCTTTCCAAGATGGAAACCATGCCTTAAAGAAGGGCTGCTTTTTGCCTGCTAAGTGAGCTGGAGGAACTGCTTTAGCCAGTTCTTAAACTGGCTTAAATTGTTTTCACCACTTCTTAAACTGGTGAAATATTTGCTGTGTTGGCTTTCCATACTTGGAAATACTTGGCATGACTACAGTTTGCATGGGAAGCAGAGCTGAGGTATCTCATTTAGAGATCTGAGCCAGAATACATCCAAAATCCATGTCCCAGACATTGGACTCCAGACAATACATGTCATAGAAGCATTCATGTTGGAAGGGACCTCTGGAGGCCATCTAGTTCAACCTGCTGCTCAAAACAAGTCTAAGCAGATGAGTGTGCTCCAGGGTTTGTCTAGTCGAGTCTTGAATGCCTTCCCTGATGCAGATTCTGTATCTGGCTTTAGCCCTCTCTGTTGACATGGACTCTGCAAGCCTCTGCATCTCTCTGCAGTGCACCATGTGGGTGTGGATGGGCTATTTCATGCCCTTCTGCAACAAACCTCACCCACAAGTTTCCTGTGTAGGTGTTGTTCCTGGTCCCCTTATTTGCTTGGAGCAAGATTCACTTCCCCATATAGGGTGTGCAGATTTGACTGCCTGAGGGTTCTCTCCAGCTCTGCATGGACCAGGGATGTTGAGGGCCAGAGGAAGTCCTCTCTGCATGAGTGGGGATAGCATTGCCCACCTTGGAAGTCCCAGCACAAGTCACAGATGTACTGTGCTCCTCAGGAGAGCAGTGCCATGCACAAAAACAAAGGTAAAAAGAGTGCCTGCAGCATCAGCACTGTTAGCATGTGTGGACATTCAGTGCAGAGACCAAGGGAGGCTCTAAACTCTGCTCACTGTCTGGTGCTACAAAGTGAAATGCAGCAGCAGCCAAAAGGGTAAATAAAGCTTTTGTCAGAGGTAAAACATGTCTGAGCTTACTCAGTAAATAGTGTCTGGTAGAGAACTTCAGAGACCTCTTTGATGTGTCTTGTGCATTTATTCAGTCTATGAGAAGTGGTGTCAACAGGCAGCATAAAGGCACAGAATTGGAAACTTCTTTGCTCCTCGGTCCCTAGGAGCCCCTTCTCTGCTGCTCCGTGTCTCATTTTCCCTGCCCATAAAACCAGGCAGAGGTCCTAACTCCTCTGGGATGTATTTTGCTGTTCCTAGAGAAGTAGCTCTGCAGAAGTATAAAGGACCCATCCCTTTTACTCAGGCATCCTGCTTACTGGGAGGAAGAGGAGAAAGTTGCATCTGATTCAGATCATTCTAACTACAGTGGACATCAGTTTACAGCTGCTGAGGATTCGGTGCAGGGCATTTGCATTTCACATGTTGACAAAGCAAGATTCTGTGTTTTGTTATTTGAAGACATAAAAAAGGAAATGTATCTCAAGAGCATTTGCATAAAGTTGGTTTCCGTTATCAGAAGTGTTTGCTCTCTGACATGCCCTGTCCATATGGGCATGTAGCCCCTGCTCTTGTATGCACCAAGGCCTCCCTAGGGTTCAGCTTCATACAGCTATTCTGGGTGTGGGGAACTAACTCAAAGTCTACATGGTCCTTAAGGTCAGAACTGAGCCTTAAACATCAGCTTTTTTAAGGTCTACCCTAGTGAATTCCCCATAGCTCAGCTCCCATCCTCATATGGTTGTGTTGCCAGCTCTGTGAGATTAGCATCACTCTTTCTGAGCAGCCATTTCCACCATAGGTGTTCCTTGCTGAGCTGAAGAGCACAGACCAGTATTTTGCTGTGAAAGCCCTGAAGAAGGATGTGGTGCTCATGGATGATGATGTTGAATGTACGATGGTGGAGAAGAGAGTCCTCTCCTTAGCTTGGGAGCACCCATTCCTGACTCATGTCTTCTGTACATTCCAGACCAAGGTAAGACAAGGATCTGATACCTAATTCCATGGGCTGAGGATGCTTTGTTGAAATATGGATACTTGGTGAAGTGCTTAAGTTTGCTAGATGTTAGGGAACAGCTTGGACATGAAGTGGTGCTAAGACAAGGGAGCTTCAGGTTAACCCCTTAGGAAGCAGCTCCAGCAATTTCACATGCCTTGCCCACATTAACCTGGGTGCAGCATGGGGCGTTGGAGGATCATGGACTCCAGGACTGACTGATGATCCAGGCTATGCAGAGAGCCATTGTTAAAATCTGTGTCCCGGTACCCTGGGCTGAGGACATGCAAAGGCCACATCCACAGCCAGGGTGCAGATGTGGCCACACTGGGGTTATCAGAACATCTTAGACCATGAAGCAGTATGCATGCTGCAGTGAGTCAAAGCTAACTCAAGAAACTCTGGTTATTGAGAATAAACAATAAAGCTGCCATTCACTTTGGGAATCTTCTTTATCTCCAATTACTGTTAAGTTTTGTTAGACTTCCTAATTCATGCAAGTGGTGAATATTGAGGTTCCGAGGGGTAACACAAAGCATCTTCACCTGAAATCCTCCGTAGGACTCCAAACCAAAATTGAAGTGACATTTAAGTTGTATGTGTATCTTCATGACTCTATGTGGCAACAAACCACCAACAGATGATCTTTCCATAGCCTTTCCTACAGTGATAATCTGTCACCTTAATGCTAAAGCACACACAGGGCATAGGAAAACACAGTGGAAGGAAATCTGAGAGCTTGTCTTGTTTGTCCTTCCTGTTCCTGAGAGGTGCTTGCTGTCCCTGAGCTCAGATTCAGAGCTACACCACTCTCTTAAGGCTGCTTGTTGAGGGTTTTGTGAGGATGCTCCTAGTCCTTGCTCAATCCCAGGGTTTAGTGACACAAAGCACTGTTCAGTGTGAGGTTAGGACCTGCTTAGCAATAGGCTCACTGCTTTTGCAGGGTCAGGAGGAACAAATATAACCCCTGCAGTAGATCACAGTTGTCCAAGAGATGCGGCACCTGTTTAAAGACAGATTAAATTCATAGCAGGGAGTGTTTGGGAACTGCCATAGGTGATGTGTCACTGAGACCAGGTGTTCATGTTTAACCCCTTTGGGATTGTCAGTGAAGACAGCATGACCTGGGAATGGATCATTGCCTGGAAAAGAAAGGAGTTAATTCCCTTTCTGGGGCCCAGACTTCAGGGGAAAATATAAATGACCAAACTCCTGAAGCAAAGGAAATCAAGACTTAATTAAAAAGACAAAATATTCGCAGCTCTACAAGGGAACTTACACTCCAGGGAGAGATGCTTGTGCTGCCTGTAATTCCTGGGGACATGCACTGATGCCACTGGCTGCAGCACAGAACTGTGTTGTCTATGGTCCAGCCTGCTCCAACCTCAATCTGCAAGCTGGAGGTCCGGTTGGGGATGGTTGCAGCAGTGGCAAGTGGCATGCAAGTGTTCACATCCCTCATGAGACTAAAAAGATGAGAGACCACATGGAGCCAGGTGGGATTTACTGACCATTTAAGGGGGTGACTGTGCTTCCAGTGGTGGCTGAGGCAAGGAAAACCTGCAGGATGGAAAAGCAATGAGTGCTTGAAAACTCATGGGTGCCGGGCTCAAAAACCCAAGTGATCTTTTCCTACACTGTCTCATGGGCAGCATCACAGCGTTGCTCTCCTGACATAGAGAAGGAACCAGCATCCATCTCATCTCAAGTCACCATTGTCACTTTAAAGTTATTTGATCTCTCCATTTTGCCCTCAGGTTCACAAATAGAGAAGCTGGAATGTGGCTGCCCCAGCCAAAGGCGCTCGGTTTGATTGATTTCTAGCTTATGTTTTTCTCCTCTGACCTTTGCAAGCCAAGAGGCGATTGCTCGATGCATGAAAGTCATTCAGAGGGGGAGAGCTGTGACAAACCATGGACAGGCTTTCATGGCTCAGAGGACGTGCTGCAGTCATAATATCTTTTAGAACAGTGTCTTAGAAGCCAGGGCACTGCTGTGTGCAGCCCCTCTCTGGACTTTGGTATTGAAAACTTCAATTTTCAGTTGAAGCACTGGTATTGTTTTAAGGTTTCGCTGGATAGATAAGTAGTTTCAAACAGAAATGCATGTGTCAATGACTTTCTGAATCCCTAATGCTTTGCCTTGCAAGGTTTCTGAACTGCTTCAGGTACTGAGTGCCTCTGCAAAGGGCAGTAAACCAGGAGCATTCCTATGCTGAAGCAAGAACCCCACGTCTCCAGAGGGGAAAAAAAGGCCACATAATCTGTTATGAGTTCTCTGGGATAGGTTTCTTCTTGGTCTCAACCCAGGTCACCTGTGAATGCTCAGATACATAAAGCTTGACAGCCCTTCAGACTGGTGTTTCTAAGGCACCAGGCACCTAATACTCCTTTGTATTCCTGCATAGGCTGAACAATCAGTGCATTTGAAACCCAGAATACTCGTCATGGTTTTCTACATTAGAATAAATCCAAGCAGAAAATTCTAATCTGATTTTGAACTTGACTGTTTTATTTCACTGCAGTCATCTTTGTATCCAGATATTCAGCCAATATAATTATATGGTGTGAATTTTAACAAGCTCAGAGAGTTACTCTGTTGTATTAGATTTAAAGGAGCGCTGTTATGTTCGAGAGGAGGAAAAACATGTTTATAATTCCATGAAATCCCCAAATTAGTAACGCCAAAACACTGAGTAGCATCCCAGTGCTTCTGTTTTATTCTTCTTTTGGCATTTCACTGATATTCTGTGATAAAAATAGGCTTTCCCTTTTTGAAAGTCACTTTTGTTTCTGCTACTTTACTTCTTTTGCTTCATTTACTTCACACCCTTTACCTAAATGCAAATGAAGTCTTGAGGCATTTTGGCTTATAGCACAAAAAAGCACCAGAGAACAGTACCTCAACCCAAAAGAGAAGTCATCTTTATTGCAATTTAAAGGCAAGTCTTACTGAAACAGGTTTTTTTTTCTGCTTACTAATGTATTCTGTCTTTTCAAAGTCCTGGTGGTGAGCCATTTTCACATGACTGACTTCAAAATCTCTTACATTGGCAGGAAGGAGAAAAGGATTATACATAAGGAGTGTGATCCAAATTTAAAGATTCTTAGTCTCTGAAGTGTTATCCATGAGTATTTTTAGGAAATTTCCCATTAAAATATCTCCTCAGAGGAAACTACAATTCCTGCAAAATTTTCCAAGAGGAATTTCAGTTTTCTTCTATATTTCTCTTGCTGTTAGAGGGACAGAGATGAATTATTTGACCTAAGTCAGAGCGTGTGGGTTGGCACACATGCATTTCACACCTATGTGACGTTCAGCTCCACTGCATAGTTGTGCCATAGACCTTATGAGCAACCCTGGATCAGGCCCACATGCCCTTCCCAAGCAATGCAGGATCCTCTCTGACCAGAGCATGGCTGCAGGATGTTAATGTATTACTGAAGTCATCTTGCAGAGCAGTGAAGTTGCAAGTCTTGATTTCCACCACCATTTAACCACTGAACCACAACAAATTGATGGATGGACTAAACAAAACATGGTGTGCTGGTTACAAAATGAGGTGTCTTTTAAGATCAGACCAGATGTCTTTATAGTCAGCAGCTTAGTTTTGGCATTGACCAGTAAGGATGGCTAAATAAGAGAGTATACAGCAATGCAGTGGGTTTTTGCCTTGTATAAACCATCCTTGTCCCTTGCACAAACCATCCCATGCCTTGGTGTTCTGCCATTTGGGAGGCAGGATCTTGAAGCTACAGTGTTCCTAGGTCTCCATCCTCCTGGTATTTTGGGGTGATACATCAGCTTGGAAACAGCTGATTCAAGGCTTAATGGGAAAGTTGGGGAAGAATTGGGAAGTTTAGGGAGGCTTTGAGGAACCAGCAGCAAGAAAACTGGCAAGGTCTCATTCAGTCCTGGCCAAAATCTCAACATGGTTCAGTAGAAATAGCAGTGCCTCAGCAGAGCTTTGGGATTTCAACAAGGTTCTGCCAGAGAAGGTGTGAGCAGCTGTAATTGTAATTGCAAGACCCTTCTTGGTTGTGTCAGCCCATGTGGTGGGAACAGCTGGAGTGTTTTGGCAATGAAAAGAAGGGGCCAGCTCATAAGCATGGGGTTAAGTGATAGCTGATCAATATATTCAATACACATATCGCCTTCCTGTTGTCCGTCTGTGCGGAGAATCAGCCCAAAATGCATTCAGCTTTGCCTGAGATGTCTAAAAGTCTGCTCTATGTCCTGGAAAAAGTTGACTTCTTAAAATGAAAACATTTACATTTCCCCTCCCATTTTTCAGCTGATAAAATACTTGTTTCCTAAATCTGACTTTTTGCTTAGGTTTTGGACCGGTGATCCCAAATCTTCACAGAAATTTGTTCCTAGCCTTGAGAAAAATAGTTCCTTTCCAAGATCCCTCCAGTACTGATCATAAAATAGTTAGGGTTGGAAAGGACCTTAAGATCATCCAGTTCCAACCCCCCTGCCATGGGCAGGGACACCTCACACTAAACCATGGCACCCAAGGCTCTGTCCAACCTGGCCTTGAACACCAACAGGGATGGAGCATTCACAACCTCCCTGGGCAACCCGTTCCAGGGCCTCACCACCCTCACAGTAAAGAACTTCCTCCTTATATCCAATCTAAACTTCCCCTGTTTAAGTTTTAACCCGTTACACCTCGTCCTGTCACTACAGTCCCTAATGAAGAGTCCCTCCCCACCATCCCTATAGCCCCCCTTCAGAAACTGGAAGGCTGCTATGAGGTCTCCACGCAGCTTCTCTTCTCCAGGCTGAACAGCCCCAACTTCCTCAGCCTGTCTTCATACGGGAGGTGCTCCAGTTCCCTGATCATCCTCGTGGCCTCCTCTGGACTTGTTCCAACAGTTCCATGTCCTTTTTATGTTGAGGACACCAGAACTGCACACAATGCTCCAGGTGAGGTCTCACGAGAGCAGAGCAGAGGAGCAGGATCACCTCCTTCG